TTTAAATTTAGTAAAAAAACATTTGATTTTAGATTTGTAATCAACTTTTTTACATTTCAGTGAAAATTTGAAAGAAATTGGATTTTTCATTCAAAAGTTCATCTCAAATTATGTTCTTCTCCAGTTATTTATGCACGCAACTGTATCTGTAACAAATGAATATAAATAACGACAAAAAAAGAAAAATGAAAAAAAGTGTGCACATTTTTAAAATTCATAACCTTCTTATATCAATAAATCGCAATCTGAAAGTCAAATAATCTTGAGGTAAGCTGAACTTTTGGAAAATCATTCCAACTTTACAGTAAACCGAGTAATAACCTTAACTATATAGATGTTAATTCCAATTATCTACCTACACTATAAAATGTCTGGTACGATCTTTTGAGTTGAGACAGTCTGCGACATTGTCATGAGAAGTTATTTTTACGAAAGTGCATTGAAAAAATGCGGTTATTATTGTACACTCAAGTATCAACCAAACTTAAAACTAAACTTAAGAAAAAAGTTCAAACTCATTTCCATATGTTAGATAAGTGGGATTATAACTGCTGCTTTTTCTACTGAATCTTCTAGCTCTGGTCTAAGTTTTTTTTGAAAAACTAGATTTTCTTTTAATATTAGTTTCAGAAAACTTTATTCTTTTTTTAAATGAATTTTTGATAACAATTTAAATACTAAAATGGTTAGTGAGTGCTTCTTACAAGTGCAACTGTATATTTGATGTTTTATTTGTTGATCTTTCATAATATTAAACACCTTGATTATGATGAAATAATCTTTCTAACAAAAATTAAAACAAAATTAAGTGAGTTTTTTGCAACAATTTTTACTTCTGCATTCAACTCGGCTTTTTGTGTACGTAGATTTGCATTTGCAATTTCTTTTTGTAAATTTATTCAATACGCTAATGATTCAACTAAAATTAACAGTTTTGCACCTTCTGATATTTTGTTTATGGAATTCAAAAACATTGTTGATGCGTACTTTATAAAAAATAACTTTTTAGAGTTTTCACAGTTTATGTCTTATTTATGGCATTCTCTAAAATACACAAACAAATATTTATGGTCTTCTGTAAATTAAACAAGTTATATTGACTTGAAAAATACATGGCTTAAAGGAATCAAAACAAACGATAAGATTAAAAATGATGATGATAAATTTTAGCAATAATTTGTTATAATATAATGATAAATTTTAACAATAATTTATGATAGTTTATTAAACGGTTAATAGTTTATTAAACGATTAAAGCTCATGACTACAATACGAAACTCAGTATTATTCTCATAATTGTGTAGATTAATATGACGCATAATGATGAACCCTGCTTTTTTACAGTTCATAGCGTGGTTAGCTTTGAATGTTTTTCTACATGGATACTTTGATAATCCACTAATATCTCGATTTTAATCCACTAATATCTCGATTTTAGTGATATTGAAAATTAGTTTAATTTTCAACTTTATTTAATATATATTTTGTATAATGTTATTTTATAAATTATAACAAAAAATTTTAAAATTATTTTGAAAAAGATTTTTAAATATTATTATTTTTTTTTTTTGTCCTTCATCATAATTATTTTCTAAAAAAAGAAATTTTAAAACTCCAAATTTGAACTTGAAATTTAAATGAACAAACTTGTTTCTCCACGCAGCAGTACCAGTAGTAGTTGTTCGATAGCCTGTGGTCTAATGTGCTTCCAAACCAACAAAGATAACTGTTCTGTATCGTTTTAGATTAAAATGATCAAAGTTACTTTTTATTACTATTTTGCTTTTTTTCAATTTGTTTTGTGTCAAGGCTTGACTAAATAGCGAAAAAGTTTGGTAAATGGTCAGATATATCCGTTTTTAGGATACTATTTTGTATAACATGATATTGTTATCTAGCAGAGTTACTGTGTTCACTTTCACTCTAGTTTAGAAATTTATAAGGAGTACAGCTAGAGCCGTGATTAGATAACCCCCTTTCCTGATTAGGGAGGAGGTCTAGCAGTTTTAAGTGGGTTTTTTTTTTCAAATTAATTTTTTTTTTTTTTTTTTTTTTTTTTTGTTGTAATACCTAATAGATGATCGTTAAGCTCTACAGCCAACTAGCCACGTCACCGGGTACAGTTCATGCTTCAAAGATAGTCTAAAAAATTTCAGTTTTGTGGACGTTGTAGTATAGTTTGTTGTAGTTTATTTTTAAACTTCCTTTTTTTTAATCAGACTTGTTATAAAAAAAGTAAAGTATCCGCTAGATAATAGCATTGTAATAAAGTGTTTCTTGTATGATTTTTATTTCTATAGTAAAAACTTCTTTACTCCTTAAGCTTATATTAATGTTAAGAAATTTATCTAATCATAATTTTTGCCATATGTTTTCTTAAAAAAAGAAATACATTTAAAACTCTGAAAATACTTTCTTTATTTTAAAATATTAACTTTTAGTTTAAGTTAAGTTTCTTTATTCAGTAGTTAATTTCATAAAACTTTAAAAATGTCAAAATGTTTTAATTTTAATAATAATTAAATTATATTATAGCCATTTTCAGTTTTTTTGACGACTATGTTGGTGAAGAAGTGAAATCGTTCGGATCAGTTCGTCACTAGCTGTTTATCTAGACGAAGGTTGTGGCTGCGTAGATTGTTGTGATAGATTGAGGCGAAGCAGTCGATCTTTTCAATTTCGTGTGTAATTTTATATGGTTGAATTAAGTCCCCACGTTTGCTTCTTGCTTCTAAAGTCGTTTAGTCTAGTGTACAGAACCTTTTTGCGTAGGAAAGATGTTTTAGTTCAGTTATTGCTTTGGAAGCTCTGTGTTGGATTTGCTGGAGTCGTTTTATGTCGCATTGAAGGTGAGGAGATCACGCTTGGACTGTAAACTGGACTATAAAAGTGGTAAACAAGACTTTCCAGAGCTGTTTTTTTAAGCATCTGAATAATTTATTGAGTTTTCCTAACATCATATTATTCATAATTGCTGCGTATTCGACTTCCTTGGTGACTTTGAGGTCGTCTAATACCAGCACTCCGAGGTCTCTTTTTGTAATTGTGACTTTGACTTGGTGTCAAGAGCCGTCTGCTTTAGCCATGGTGTAGTTGTGCATTGATTTGTTGCTTTTTTTCCTGCGTGCATTACTTTGTACTTAGTCAACCCTTACGGAAATATTCCATGGAAAACCCATGGAATTCCATGAGTAAACCATGGTTTTCCCATGAAAAACGGGAATTCCATGGAATTTCCATGGGTAAATTTCATGAATATTGAAATCCTATGGAATTTCCATGGGTGAACCATGTTTTTTTTTTCATAGCTTAAGCTGCGCCATGGTTGTTACAAATGCGCTTTTAAAGATGGCGTCATAGCTCGTAGAGTTATGATTATTTTTAAATTAGAAAACAATACTTACTGCATTCTTCTGTTTTTCTGTGTTTAATAAGGCTATGAATTATATGTTTTTTATAATGCAATACATTTATATGTTTTAACTAAACATACAGATATAAACAACTAGATATATTTATCATATTATAATGCATTATAAAAGGGATTATTTTTAATTATATTTTATTATATATCATTTATGCATATACTTATTTTAACTGTTTCCAGTAGCTTTGCTTACTTTGCATAACTTGCAATAGTATAGCAAGTATGTCAAGTAAACCAGTTTGAATTTTAATGCCTACTTGGCAAATTATTTGCCAAATAATTATTATTTGGTTTACAACAAATAAATGTTTAGTTTTAATCTACATTAAATAACTAGTGTATTAATGTACATAGTGTAATTTAATGTACATTCAAACTAGTATAATTATTATTATAAAATTTATCGAACGTATTAAAGAAACATTTAAAATATTAATATACAAGCAGTATATTAGATAAGATTAGATAACTAAGATAATAAGATTAGATAACTAATGTACAAAAGATAACTAGTATGACCTTTTTTATTTTTTTTTTATAATAGCCTTAGATTACATAAAAATGCTTGAAGTTTATTGTATCGTAAATGTTCATTAAGTATTAAAAAACATTTTTTTATGATAAATGTTCTATTCAATTTTAGTTCTGTTAAGTTGTTTTTGTCTGTTGTAGTTTTTTCTTTAGAATTATTAGAATATGTAAATAATGTAATATAAATAATGTTTATAAATTCTTTTATATTTACTTTATTATTTCATTTAAATTACTACATTATAAGCCAACAGGTTTGACTGGCAATATAAATAATGTTGTTCATCGTTTATATTGTTTATAACATCGTCAGTTTTTATATGCATTTAATATTTTTAAAAATAGTTCAAAAGCTGTCAAAATAAAATGGTGAATTGAGTTAAAACCAGAAAAGATATAAACATAATCTTTGGGATTCAACTTGTAAGGATGTTCCAAGAACCACTTAGTTGGAGAAGGAAAACTGTGGTAATATTTTATAAGTATCAGTAAGGGAATTTACTTAATGCACAAGATTTTACTTCATAGTTAAATATAAGCATATAAAAGCAATGTTTATAAATAATACACTATTATTTATTATAATACAATTATTTTTATTTGTTTATATTTAACTGATGTAAAGTGCTCGTCTTTAGTTAAAATAAATTAATTTTTGCACACACTTTGATATTTACTATGCTTTTACATTACTATACTTTATAAATTACATATTTGTTATGTTTTAAATAGTGAAGTAAAAATATAATAAATTTTTGAATTTAATGGTATGTGCGTAAGTTCTTTTATTTTAACTTTATCATTTTATTTAAATTACTGCATTATAAGCAGGTAAGTTTGACTGACAATATAAATAATGTTGTACATCATGCAGACAGCTCAGACAAAGAAGTAAGTTTTTACTTAAAATTACAATTTATAAGTTATACTATATTTGTTGCTGCCTTATTCTATATAAATGTTACTAACATGCAGGTAAAATTTATATATGTGTATAAATCTTTTCATTTTAACCTTATCATTTCATTTAAATATAAATTTTTAATTTATTTATTTAGCCGTTCATTAACAAGTCCTGTGCTTTATAATATATTAAAAAATGGAAGGACGTGAAGAAAACAGGTTTGTAAATGATGTTGTACATCATGCAGATAGCTCAGAAGAAGAAGTAAGTTTTTTTTTTAATTACAAAAGTAAATATATAATATAATATTTGTTGCTGCCTTGTTCTATATAAATGTTTCTAACATGCAGGTAACATTTATATATGTATTAGTTTGAATAAATCATTTTAATAAAGTTACATTATAGGCAGGAATGTTTGACTGGAAATATAAACGATGTTGTACATAATGCAGATAGCTTAGGCAAAAAAGAGGTAACAATCTAATAATTTGCATTTATAAATAATGATATATTCATTGCTACTTTTTTCTATATACCTAACATTTGGCAACATTCATAATTGTGTATAATGCCTAATTATAAAGTAAGTTATAATAGATAATAATTATAAGTAAAATGAATTAGTAAATAAAGAAAACTAGTTAGAATGTATATAATAGTTGTATGATGTATTGTCTAGATTGGTGAAATGGAGAATGAGACTAACTAGGGTGAAAAAAAATGAATATTAATATGTGAATGGTACTTTGTTTAACATCTACCTGTTTCTACAGATACAGTACAGACGCATTTATAAATGGGCTTGATGTTTTTTTGAATTAAATATGTTGTATTGATGGTTCTTTTTAACTTGTTAAAACTTGAAGTTATTATCAAATTTATATATACTATTTTTATCAAATAGTTAATATAAAATAATAAACATGTAAATTGTTTTATTTTTTGTAAAAATTGTTTTCTTGATAAATTTCAATTGTTTATCACTATGTATATCACTTATAGTATTATATTACTTGTAATTTTTTGTTTTATTTATTTTCAGTATGTTATACATATGCGTGCATTAAATATTGTGGGGAAGTCAAGTTTTGATGTTTTAGGTGCATTATAGCTATTAATTTTCAAAGATTTGTAGGATTTAACAAGATTTAAATTTTATTTTGTTTATTGATTTTATTTGAAGAAAGCGATCTCATAGATTAAGGGAACTCAATAATAGTGGGATAAAATTTGCTTTTATGATTTAATATGACAATTCAAATAACATTAGATAAAAAACTTGAAAACAAATCATGCTTTTTTATCATGAAAAATCCATAAGTTTTCATTGGAAAGGTGTTCCTAATACCTATGGAAATTCCATGGTTTTTCCATGGATGGAAAATCATTGAATATCCATGGTATTTGGAACACTTTTCCATGAAAAACTTAAAGATTTTTCATGGGAAATTCATGTGTTTTCCATGGAAAACTCATGGTTTTTCCATGGAAAACTCATGGTTTTTCCATGGAAAACTCATGTTTTTTCCATGGAAAACTCATGGTTTTTCCATGGAAAACTCATGGTTTTTCCATGGAAAACTCATGTTTTTTCCATGGAAAACTCATGGTTTTTCCATGGAAAACTCATGGTTTTTCCATGGAAAACTCATGGTTTTTCCATGGAAAACTCATGGTTTTTCCATGGAAAACTCATGGTTTTTCCATGGAAAACTCATGGTTTTTCCATGGAAAACTCATGGTTTTTCCATGGAAAACTCATGGTTTTTCCATGGAAAACTCATGGTTTTTTCATGGAAAACTCATGGTTTTTTCATGGAAACGTGTTCCAAATACCCATGGTTTTTCCATGGGTTTTTTTTCTAAAATTCCCATGGGAAATTTTCGTACGGGAAACGCTTTGGCAAAGGCTGTGTTGATCACGTTGATGGAGCTGTTTTGGAGTGCAGCTTCGGTCAAGATGTCTCTAGTAGGTTGCTTCTAGTAGGTTTGTGACGCATCCTCTTTTGTTCATAAAACCATTTTGTGCCCTAGTTATGAGACTATGCTGGTTTCAGAAATGCATAATTAGGTCGTGTATGATACTTTCGAGGAATTTGCAGGGTACTGATGTTAGTGATACCGGGCGATACTTAAATGCTTTGCGTCTGCGTCTCTTTCTTGAAGATCAATGTGACGTTTGAGCGGCGCTAGAGGCTGGGAACTATGCTGTCTTCAGGCAATTTGCAGTAGAAAAACGTAAACAGTGTCGCAAAGTCTGTTGCGAAAGCTCTTTAGGACCCTTGGCTGAAGAACATCAATGCCTATTGATTTGGACTCAACTAGGCTTTCGAGTCTGCGTTGGACTTAGGTGTACGTGATATACGACTCGTTCATATCACATACGGCGTTAACTCGCTTTTCGAAAGTGGGCATTAGGTCATCGGCGGGTTCTAAAGCAAAAACTGATTGAAAGTAACTACTATGGATGCTTACTATTACTTTTCTGTTTTTTATCTTCAAGTGATCGGAAGATGTCCTGGAGTTGCTGTTGATGCTTTACGTAGTTGTGAAGGGGTTTTGGGTCGGCATTAAACCCGCTTGCGATGTCTTTCTCATAGTTTGCCACTGCTGCCTAAACGCCCAGACGATAACATTCTTGCTTGAGACCTTATACTCGATTCGGTTTGTGTCATGTGTCCATATACCTAAAGCTCAGTATTTAGCCCAATGGTAGCGTTTCAGTCTGACTGCTTCTCGAACTTTGGGCGTGTTCCAGGGCTCTTTTTTCTTCTCATAAGGGATAAATTAAAGGGAATAAGGCGTTTGACTGCCTCGTTGTAGTTGTCGACGATTTGTTCGTGAACCAAGCTTAGCAACCGGGTGAACAGCAGGGGCATTGGTTCCCCAATAATTTTTCAAGTAAATAAGTTATTATAAAGAAGAAATTGACTAAAAAAATTCCATAAAAAAAGGTCCTTAAAACTCTTTCGGGGTAGTGCTGCCCCCCTCCCAATATAATTTTTGTTCTAACGGCCCTGTAGATATGTATAAATTGTAGAATTATATTTAATATAGGTATGCGGAGTACAACAAAAACTGTATTTTAGACACGAATTCGTTACATTAATATATTCGTTAATATATAATATAATATTAAGTTAATATATTCGTGTCTAAAATATAATAGAAAAGTAATTATGAAGCAAATAAGAGGCAGTAATAAGTAGAGAAAGAAGTTCTGTGGTGGAAAGGAGATAAAAAAAAAAATTTAAATTTCCTTAAAACTTACGCTTAAACAAAAACACGTCTTTTCGACTCAAAGGCTTGAGGGTAAATATTAAAAGTGTAACAAATATTAAAAGCGATTTCAGTAATTTCGTTCTATTTTAAGATTGGTTTTATTCGATTTTTGTTGAAATATTTTAGGAATCATTTTCAAAAGTTGCGTGTGATTTATTTGTTGTAAACTTACTTTTGCATACTTTTAGTATATAAATATTTAGCGTTTAGTTCTTTTTTAATTACTCATTTGTGTATATGACAAAATTCTCATTTACGTACAATCGCTCGTTCCAAAGTTTCACCGGATTGTACTTGTTTATTATTTGAGCTTTTGTTTTTATAATTTAAACATTGAACAACTATGAATCTGTTTTTTAATGATGTTTTTAACAATTTTTAAGGATCTGATTTTTAACTTCGACATTTTTTTTCCTTGATGGGTTCTTTCAGTAATAATGTATTTTTCAATTTTATGTTAGGTTTTCAGCATTCCCTGATTTTTTTTCTCACTCTTTTCACTTTACTATTTTACAATACTTTTTAAAAGTATTGTAAAATAATAAAACTCTTTTCAAATATATTGTAACAAAGATACTAGCAGAGATAATTGTTACTCATAGAGGTAAACAAATACGTTACTAACAGAGATAAACAAAGCTATCGAATTTACAAGTAAAAGCTACATTAGAAATATCATTGAAATTACAGAATTAAAAAAAAAATAATCTTCAATTACATATGAAGTATTAAATCTATACAACTCATATTTAGAGCCGTGGCTAGCCTACCCCTAACCTCGAAATTAAAATAGGGGGAGAGGGCCGCAAAATAAAAGTCAAAAAATCAAAATATAAACTTCTTCCTGAGTATTATTAATATATAAAAAATAAATTCCTCAAGTTTGCTAAAGCGTCCCATTTACATATTTGGGGACGCTTTAGCAAACTTGAGGAATTTTTTTTTTTATATTAATAATACTCATGAAGAAGTTTATATTTTGATTTTTTGACTTACAGGTTTTTGAAAGAAAAGGGGGTTTTTAACTCACTAGCCACGGCACTGCAAATATTTGATGTATTTTCGATGAGAAATAGTATTCATGAAATAATTCAAGGTAGAGTATAGCGGTTTAAAAATTATTGTACATTTTTTAAACTATTGCGACATAAACACACACAAAAAAGATAAAAATGTAGTTAACTTAATCTGTTAGCCTAAATTAGTGTAAAATTTTGTTGACTTTAAAACATAAAAGTATGCATATACTTTTATGTTTTAAAGTCTAGCTAGCTAGCTCCTAGATTCCAATTGTTAAAATAAAAATATAAAAAAGATTACGCAAAGAAATAAAAATGTCTCAGAGGCATCTACATTCTATATGTATTGTTTGGTGTTTTTTTATATCTCAGCAAAAATGTGTTTTTTTCATATATGGATAGGTAGTACCCTAGTAAGGCACGCCAGGAAGGATAGTGTTCCCCATTGACGAGCGATGGTTTATCTTTCTGATTGAAATAAGTTCACATAATCCGTTTTATTGTTTATTCTATGGAGCTGAATAATAGAGGTTAATATAACAACAAAACTGGTTGTTCCACATTAAGTACATTTTTTTTCTTTGTAATTACCAATGTGCAGATTTAATTACGGACATACAGAAAGTAAATAAAATATTATTTGTAGTTTTATGTTTTAAATTTTTTTTTTTTTTTTTTTTTTGAATAGCTTCACTGAGCGTCGTTGCATATATATTGCATAGTTTAAAATGTCGCCTAGTTCGTAAGTTAATAGGAGCACTCTAAAAAAATGCTATTTTAATTTGATCCGTTTGAGAGAAACATTGAAGAAAAACACCTTTCTTTAAATTTAGGTAATTATATACTATATTAATGGTTTAAATTTTTTTTGTATTACAATATCCTTTGAATAGAAGAAATAAAGACAGACAATTATTAAATGAAGGACCAGTTTATAACTGCATCAACAAAAACAAATCTTTGTTCTTTAATTTTCTCGGACAATCTAGCTTTTGTGGCAAAAAAAAATAAAGAATCTATATTCAGATTTTAGACTTATCAAGTATAAATTATAACTTAACTAAGTTGATTATGCACATATGTGAATTATGAGAATTAAATACTTTTTTTTTAATGGGCCTTATTGTCTTAAAAGCGATTTTATGAGAAAACCAGGCAACGCTCAAAAGTGATATTACGCTCAATCTTTTATGCAGTAACGCTAATTGAATAACAAAAAAGCCTCTTTAATATTTAAAGTTTCTGAATTATGGTTGGTCAAACATTTGACCATTTAGCACATGGAAATTCTGTTGTTAACTTCAAAGTGTTGTTATTGAAATGAGGCAATCGCATTACATCGGGTGTCACATAAAATCGATGATTTAGTCAAGTTTGCTAATTATTAAAAGTATAGGTAAAACTTTCATATAAAAGAATCAATATAACTGAAAAAAAAACCTTGCTTAATCTAAAAATCATAAGCTGAAAAGACAAGTTTTTTAATTTGTGATTTTAGCTTATGATTTTGAGACAAATACTTAAAAAACTAAGCTATAACCACTCTATCGTAACAAAAGCATGCGTAAGCAAAAGCTATACGTGTTATTATTTTTTTTAAAAAAAAAGAACAATCAAAACCTCTTTTTGAAATTAGTTAAAATGGTACTATTGTATAAAAATAAAAATAAAAGCGTAATTTTCCACAAAAAAGAATCCAAAATTTTTGCTTTTGAAAG